AAAAAAAAATATTTTGAATTATAATACTAAAAAAAACAAGAATATAATCAGAAGAAAAAAAATAAAGAGAAAAATATATAAAAAAAATAATTAATTTATGAATATACAAAAATAGAGATTTGATATAAATAGAACAAAAAAAACAAACAAAATATATAGAAAATCAATAAATAATTAATTAAATCAAAGAAAAACATTGTTATTTTTAATTTTTATAATTAATTTTTATATAATAGTAATATTAATAGAGCTTTAATATATTGATCTTAATAAAATCTCAAAATAAATCAATAGTAACAAACTGATATAAAGCAACTTAATATAATATAACATATATCTAGAGTAGTCTATAGATAGTAATTATTGTAAAAGATATTCAAATATAAATTAAATAAAATATTTTAAATAAGATTGTATTAATTGAAAAAATATATTATTAAATATATATATATATATACATACAGTATATGTATTTAAAAAATTTTATTATTGTTGTTTTTTTTTATTAAATAAATATTATTTTTTTATTTAATTTATATAATATAAAATATGCATTGTAAAAAAACTTTTCTTATATATTGTATATTTATAATGAAATAAATATTGATTTATTTAAAATTTTTATTTTATTTTAATAATATATTTATTATACTGTATTTTAGTTAAAAAGATTTTTTTAATTTGTTTAAAAACTTTTATTATAACTATATATAGTATGTAAGTTATTTATTAATAAAATTAATTTGTATCTAATATAAAGAATTAATTAAATCCTTTTAATTATAAGGTTTGATTTCCAAGATTAAAATATAAAAAAACTTCTAATAAACCTAATAAATACATACTTGTTTAAAAACAATTAATATTAAATAATAATATAATTTTTTTAAAAGTATTTTTATTATTAAATTTTTTTTTACAATTTAGACCATTTAATTCAAATGTTTTGAATCATGTTTTTATTAATAATAAACAAATAATAATATTCTTTTCAAAATAGACATAATTAATCTATATAAATTTTATATGCCAGCTAATTCCAGAATCTATCCTTACACATAAAAACAATAAAATAATTTCATGTGATTATTCAAAATTACCATTGTAGAAACTAAACTAGCACACAAGTTTTACTAATAGCAATTGATAGTAGCAGTTAATAGATCACAGCTCTGCGATCACCTGTACCTTTACGCTAAGTTTATATAAAAATTCTTTAATATTTATAATCCTTAGTGAAATTTAGCTTTAACTTTTATAATATGCTATTAAATAGCAACTGGTTTAGTGTATATGACACACGTATAATGTGGTAAGAAGTTTGTATTTAAAGTTTTATTGAATACGATGTTAATTCTACCTTGTGCTAATTGTTTACTTGCGTAATATACTACGCCTTACGTAACGCGATATCGCGTCTCTTGATTATTTTTTAGTTTGTATCTATAAATTTACCACAGATTTTATTTCAAATGAAATTATTTAGGTTTATAACCACAAAAAAATTTTTTTATTTGATTATTAATTATTTATTTCATACATCAAAATTTACTAATTCATCTCGGCTTGACGGTAAACGTAGGAGAATCCTTGATACAAGCCTTCCCGCCTTTGGTCCGTGCATTAATTCTATAAAGGAAAGTGCCAGGTAGCTTAACACTTTTTGGGAATTTTAATATAGCCTTGAAGGAGGCTCTACCGCCGGGAGGCAAAACTTTTCTCCCTTTAAACACAACTTTCACAAATATCTTTTTAGCTCCTTCCAAACGAAATATATTGACGCCATGAATCTCGCTAACATGCGATTTATGATGATTGTGAAGTCTAAGATGATGCGTTTCTCCGAACGTATATATTTCTCCCGGGCCAGGATAGGTTACCTTGAGGTCTTAGATTTACAAAAAAAATAATATAGGATTTGAATTAAAAATAAAATAACGTTTTAAGATTATTTTAACAACTTACGTTTACATTTCTCTTTGTGTTTCAAGGCAGAGGTGGCGGTCAGTAAAGAGAGCAAAAATACGAGAAGGAAAAATACCGAGATTTTACGCGACAAAGTCATTTCGAAGAAAGAACTTGCGAGTTGTAAGTTATACGAGGGTGAAATCGACCTCTTTTATGAAAAAATTTGAATAAATGAGTTGCTATCTACCGTAGTCTTTTTAGACTTCAAGGTGTCAGAAATTTAGGATTTCATAAAGTTTTTAAATTGAATCAAGGTTTGTGTCTCTTTACGAACTTTAAGCTATTGTTCTATTGTTTAAATTTAATTTATCTCCAGTAAACTCATTAAAAGCATAACCTAATCATACCAATTTTTTAGGCAATCATATAAACTAGTGATGAATCATTTTTGCGAGGATTGATAAATTATGAAAAAAATTTATAGGTTAACAAAAAACAATTATCAAAAGTACGATAGTAAACGATAAAGCTTTAAATAATACATCCATGTGGATGGCTCCGTCAAGCGATGCCCGTATGAGGGCTCCGTTTACATCTCTGTTTATAACCGTATGACAGTTTCCGCATGTTTAAACTCTTCTTCCACCGATGTTTTGTATGTTCCCGCAATAGCTGTGGGTCTTGAAAGTGTGCACCTCGTCGTGGATAATTACCACCACGCCTGTTTCCTCGGCCTTGTGTTTCAGCCGCTGCTGGAATGCATAATGTAACCAGGTAAACATGCTCCGAACCACTCGAGAGTTTCTTGGTTGCTTGGTGTGCAGATAAGTACTGTTGGCACTACCGGCGAGTCCAGTACTTGTGGGCACGATAATTATCTAACTTTCTTTCTTCCCGCTTGTCCCTATGGCTCAATCCCTCACAGGCACGATATTAGCTACCACTGGATTCTTTAGGTGACAAGTATTTCAATAAGGTGAGTTCATTAATTATGCTACGAGACCAGTTGGTTACGAAGTTTTTACTAACTTACATTCACTACTTTGATCCTACTTTTATTTATATTAGCTGCGACGCATCCACCAATCTAACGTCGCGTCATGCAGAATCCCTAAACTTTCTCACCACATTGATGCATCGCGCCATGTAACATGACTCGTGCCGATCCCCGTCCCTCCTACCTAGGGATGTTATTGTCCAGTTTAGTTCGGTTTTGATTTAGACTGATATATAATTGAACCAGACCGGTTTGATCTATCGTCCTACATATAATTATAGTCCAATAGAATTTGATTATCTTATAAACTTTACGTTTCATGCTTTAAAAAAAAATAACGGTTAAAAAAAATAAATTTAACAAAAACATATATTTAATTAAGATATAGATTTGAGAATATTTAAAATTCTAAAAAAAAATTCTATACATTAGTTACTATATTAATATTATTTTCACCGATTTTTTCTTTAATCCAGCTTTTTAAACATAAACTAGCTCGAACAATCTTTAGTTGAAGTCAATTTCAAGTTTTAGTAATTGTATATCCAGTAACCAAAAAAGCTTCTTCATATGGAACACTTGTTGCTTGAATAGCAAGATAATTTCGTGCTATTGTCAATAATATAGAAAATTCTTTGGTATGTGCATTACACCATAATAATGGATTAACATTTTCATCATTAGGTAAACTAATATATCTATCTAATTCATCGATAGTTAATTGTGATTGTGTTGTATGATTTTTATATACTTGAGATGTTAAAAAAGCACGAACTGATGTAGTTGTTATATGAGTTGTAGTAATATTTGATGTAGATCTAGTTAAATTTGTAGTTGTTTCTGTTATTTTTTGTGTATATAAATTCATCATTTGACGCATATTAGAAATAGCTTGAGTAGTTTCTGTTTCTACTTCGAAAGTTAAAAGTTTAGATCGCAGATCAAGTATAGTTGAAATAATAGAAGATGTATCTAAAATATTCCAATATTTTTTTAATTTAACACGAATAGAATCTGCAATAAGGTATTGAGTTTCACTATCACGTATAATTGTGTTAAGATGATCAAAAATTCCCAAGAATGCAAGTTGAATATCTGACATAGTAATATATGTACAACCAGAAAGTAAAATTGTAACCATGTACATAGGTTCGAGTAAAATAATTGTTTCCTATATAAAAATTTTTTATAATTAATAAAAATTTTTTTTATAAATTATAGAATGAAAATCTTTACCTGAATAATATCCCATTCTTCTTTAACTAGATATAATTCTTCAAGATCTTTATTTGTTGCAACCAACATATCAATAGATAATTTCATTGCGCAAAGTTTTTGTAGCATAAGATATGTGGAGTTCCATTGTGTAGAAACATCAACTTCGGGTGTAAGATAATTAATACCTTCTGTAATACTAGTTATTGCATGAAGTTTATCACAAAGTACAATAGAATTTTTTAATTTATTCATTAATTCCCGAGCTTTATCAATAGTTTCATCTATAATTTCTAATCCATGCTTAACACCTAAATTTAAAATATGTGCACAACATCTATAATGTGTAAAATTTGGTAATTCTTTAGCCATATCCCGTCCACATAATGGCATAGCTGAATCGTTATCAGTTGTTAAAGCCAGAATTTTTGATTGTAAATTAAATTGTTGAAGAAGATTGATAAGAGTAGTTGCTATATTCGTTCCTGTATGTCGTTGAAAAGGAATAATATCTAACAAAAAATATGAAATTTTCCAAGAATTATCGATTCAATGAATTGTAATGCCAATATATGATTGATTTGTACAAGAACTCCATATGTCTGCCATTAAGGATATTTTTTCAGGGATATGTTTAATATCATTAATTAGTTTTTGTCGACGTTCTTCAAATTTAATTAAATTTAAATTTTTCATATATTGTCTTGTAGGTATTTTATATCATTCATCAAATCTATTAATCATTGCAATAAATGATTCTTCTTCCAATATTGAAAATGGTTGCTGACTTAAAATTATCCAATTTATAACAAAGATATCCAAACAGTTTTTTTCATCTTGACTATAAAGAATAATATATCGTTGAGCTTGAGTTTGTTGTCTTGAATTAACTTCTTGTTGATGTTGTTGTCTTAAATGCCATCTAAAAGTTGAGGTAGATGTTTTTAAGCTAAAACCTGTTTGACAGGTTTTGCAAAAAATTTTATTTTCATTTAAGATAATATCAAAATAAGATCATATAGGAGAGATTCGACGTATAACTGTTGAATTGGATAAGTTAGAATTATTATCATTATTGTTGTGAGAATTTTGCATCTTAAATTAATAAAATTCGAATATTATATCCTTATATTAAATTTGTAATAATTATTAATATCATCAACAATGAGACTATAGTTAAACCAGTTTTAGACGAATAGGATCAATTTTAGTTTGGTTCTAATAAAATACTAGACTGAATCAGCTTAGCTACGGTTAATATAAACCAATAACATCCCTATTCCTACCATTTCTTCTGCTAACAATATTCTGAAAAAAAGATCTTATGATTGTAAACAATAGGCATTACTAGGCAAACTAATTTGATAGGTTACTAAGCAATCGACATTGTATAGCATAATTACTAGACTGCCTCATTTTTGCTTTTGTTTGTCTATGAATTTGCACCTTATTTAAATATTATTTGCAGGTTACAAAAAGGAATTTAAAAATCTGAAGATCGTAGTATTATATTTGTGAATTCACAATAGCAATTGCAATTACTTATATTTGAAATATTAATAATAATCTTAATCAATAATACTAGAAAATGGAAACCATTGTATAATTTTTTTTTTTTACTACAAACAAGCATAAAATATGAGACTTTTATTAAGTGAGAGATCATAACCATTATATTAAGTATCTATTTAAGTTAATACCAATTTATCACATGTAAAACTTTTGATACAATATTATATCAAGTAGATAATACTAAATGAATGGAAACTATTTAAAGTCCAAAGGACTATTGCTAACACATGTAACAACATCCTATATTTATACATTCTTTGCTTCCCTTCTCATCCTCTTTCATTTACGTAAATCAGTAAATACAAGATTATATAGTTTCCTGCACTCATTATACTACCATAACTATTGATCACTATCATGCCAAAGATTTTTATTGTGATGCGAAAATATACCATGGAATAATAACCCAAAAATCTAACTCTAAGGATATTAATTACATTAACTGTAAATGAGTTATACTGTATAATAAAAAACTCTGTCAAATTAATATTTTTGTTTATTATGTAATTGAAAGATATACATATCCAGATCAATATTGCTGTACATTAGAGTGTCCTTTAAACAATTACACCAAAAGTAGCCTATTGTCATATATCGTTTCTACCTCAGGAGAAAGATAAAGACAAAGAACTAGTAGCAGGGAGGCACTTTAGATGGACAGG